CATGATGAGATGAATTACTGCCAAAGAATTTTTTTCATCTGACGAGTACATTGTTCTAAAAGAGTTCTGATTTGTCTAAACACATATAAAGATGCACATCTCTGTGCTTCTTGTTTTGCTGAGGAGTTTAATGTGGGAGGAGGAACAGAGATCATTGCTTATTGTTCTCTGTGTATCTGTCATTCCTGCTGCTTTCAGGTCACCCTTCTTACCTTCCTTATCATTATTATGAAAGCACGTTGTAACATCTTGCCTGGCGTACCTGTCTGGCAACGATTAGTTGTGGTTCTATAAACTTTCCAATTGCATGTTATTGAACCAGCTGTACAGACAGGGATGTTTGAGGTCTTTGTTATGGCTCTGTAGCTTTTTCCATTTGAATGTTGTTTAATAATGCTGTCCCTGAGATCTTTAGGACGCTCCCTCTCTTTCACTATGATTGTTACTTGTTTTGTGAAATCTTCCCAACCAATGGCAATGTCTTTTATATGACACCAGGTGCAATTTGCATGAGAATTATTTTTTCAAATAATATCTAGAACTTCATGTGACCTTCACATATATATTTCTATAACTTATATGTTAAAAGTCAAGACATTAAAAGTGGATTTATGCATTGCAAGTAAATTAAATAAGTGTCCGAACAATCGTTTCCCCTCACTGTATTTTTACTGTCTAAAACAACACAGACGAGGTAGCCTGTACTGAGAAGCCAGAAAAGAAAGAGATGAGTAGCACTCTAATGGTGTGGTGATGCAAGCCATCCACAAAAGTGCAGGAAGTGCAGGGCTGTCAAGGGTGAGTAGCATTAGCAGGAGGGGTAACTTAGTGAAGGGAGAGAAAAGAAGAAGAGGCATAAAGTTCTGGGCAGCAGTGAAATAACACTTTGATAGATGGCTGGAATGTCGGTGCTTTCAGAGGAAGAAAAGAGAAGGAAGATCAGGTGATTTCCCATAAGCCCCGAAGTCTTGTACATCATTTTTTAAACACTTTTATCTGCTTGTCTTCTCAGATAGCTGAGCTTGTTGCCACAGAATTCTTTGAGCAAGGGGACAAAGAAAGGAGAGAACTGAACATTGAACCTATCGTAAGTTTACTTCCTGCGTACTTTACATTACACTGTTAGAACAGCGGCACCAAGGCAACAATAGCCACAGACGTCACTGTCACCTTTTAAAAGTGCACCCATCTCTCTCTCTCTCTCTCTCTCTCAGGATCTGATGAACAGAGAGAAGCGTGATAAGATTCCCAGCATGCAGGTGTCTTTCATCGATGCCATTTGCACACAGTTATACGAGGTAAAAGCCACTAAACCTGTTTATAAGCCTTTAAAGTAGTGGGTGATATACAAGTTCATCCGGTATAATGGTTGAAATTCTTCTGGTTTGTCACAACCTTTATCCTGGTATTCCACAAACGAGCACAGACAGCACAGCGTACACAGCAGAAAGCACGCTAAGGTTAGCTGGTTTAATTGAATGACTAAAAGGCCTGTTTAGCTGAATGGAGTTGCGCAGAAGTCCTGCATCAGTTTGTTGTTAAGGAAGTGGACATTAGCAAGACATGTAAAGAACGGCCGGTTTCTTGAGGTCTTGGGGTTTAGCCTAGCATGACACTAGCCCGCTAACCGTGCTTCCTCTTGCACCACTTGTTAAAAATTGTTCTTAATAAAAGTAAAGGGATGATATAGTGTATCATAATACTTAAAAAAAATGTTCATGATACACAATACACATGATATTTTGACACAGACAAAATGTGTTTACAGTGTCACTTTTAAAAACAATCAGAAACCAGAAATCTGAATGATTATTAACATTACACTGTGCTGCACTACATCCAATTAAATAGGAGTAAGTGTTCTCCCTTACTAATGAAAAATGCAGTTGGTCAGTGTTCTTTAAGTAATGACTTTAAGTAATGATATCCATCATGTCCATAATGCTCAGAAAGACAAACATGATAATGATAAAATATTGTCATATTGCCCACCCTATGTAGAAGTTTGAGGCAGTAGGGTCCAGCTGTGTAATTGCTGTTGATTTGTTACTGTTCCTTCTTATGCTGTGAAATGTCTACATTGCAATGAATTTCTTACTCAAAGCACTATCTACATCTTCCTTCTGTTTCAGACACTGGCCAGTATGTCAGATTGCTGCTCCCCCCTGCTGGAGGGCTGTAGAAAGAACAGGCAAAATTGGAAACTATTAGCTGAGCAGGGTGATGAGGCAGGCTTACTGAATGGAGGACTCTAAACCCACAGCTGGCCGACACAGCTCGTCCCACCAATCAAGAGAAAGTCTTCCCCTTTCCCCAAGGTCCTTCCTTCACAGTGGATGCTCAAGGTTTAAGCAACTAATCATAGCCACTCACATTTTCTGCTAAGTTTCATGACGTCTGGGCCTGAACACGGTTTTGTCTTAGGGACACAGCAGAATCATATTGGTCCTATCTAGTTTTGGTGGTGGAGGGATTTAGCACTGAAGCAATATGTTCCACTACACACAAATCCAAATTTGACTAACACAACCTCTCATCACCAAGGTGAGGGCTCACGTATGTTTGGTGATGCTTGATGTTATCGGCCTAAGAAACCAGTCATTTCCATCTGTCCAGTCACTGTAAATAATCCACAAATGATCTAGTGGAATGGATTGAGACTCATTCAGGAATTGAACAACCAGTATAATGCAGTGACCGCTTCCCTTCAACAGCACTGATTACTGATGGACTGTGTACGTTCAAGCGGGGTAGCTATTACTTGCTTTGACCTTTCCAGGTGATATAAATCAGTGCTTACAGAGAAGGGCCTGATGAAAGCGAGCAAGTGAAGAAAAAGAAGACTGGGGTCTTTGATTTGAGTCACTGCAAACCCTGCATAGCCTCTGTATGAGGGCATTGATACAGAGCTATATTTATTATTTTAGTCCCATCTTTGGGTTGTCTGTAGCTCACTCACTGAACTGAAGAAACGGAGGTAGATGCACAAAGAACATAATTTATTTCTCACTCAGTGCACCATAGAGCTAAGCTAACATACGCAACTGCAAAGGAACACATCCACTCCAGATATCCAGAAGAATGTTTTATTAATTTTCTCACCTTGTGTTACTATTTTCACATGCCTTTTGTATATTTATTAACTTTATATCAAGCCTGTTTTATGTGGTGGGAATTTAGTTTCTTATGTCTACATGAAAAACTCTTGCATAAAACTGTTGAAGGAAAAATATATTTAATTATTCACAAGTTTGTGTGTCCTCCCATTCCTTTAACTGATTTTTTACAGATATATTAGTGATCTATCATTACCGACGTAACAAAACCATGTATCTCCAAAATGATAACTTTACAGAAGGTAAAACTATTTAAGAGAATTGCACTGAGCAATTCAACAATCAACAGACCATTCAGGTCCATTCATCATTAACTGTTTACACAATGTAAAGGGCAGCTGCTGTGCAAAAATCATGTAGACAAATGAAAATTAAAAATGGAATTAAATTATTTTGATAGGATAGCAGGTATATGCAAAATAGTCTCTACCTGCCAAAGCCAAAATATTTGATCATAGTTGTTTTGCTTTCACAGTATTGTCTGGATGGCTAGATTTACCAATCCAAAAGAAATTAGGCATGATTTATATTTCAGAAATGTTCACTGATGTTTACCTTTGTCCAGGTATTCTCATTACTAAGTCTATTTTAGCTTTGTCATAGGGGAGACACCGGTACTTTAGCACCTACAAAATAAAATTTTTGGTTACATTTTATGGCCCCAGGCCACTTTATTTGCTGTAATTTTGTTGGTAAGGACTTTTATTTCACTGGTGGCAGCTTGTGCTCAGAGAACCTACTGACAGCCAATTTATTCATCACAGTGAAGCAGCTTCCATCATATTTAGATGCAACCAAGTGCAACATTAACACTTGAAACTGAAATGTTTTTTTTTCTTTACGATTCAAGGATTTTGACTGTATACATCCACGAAGAGGCACAGATATGTGACCGTCTCAACAAAATCATTTGTCCATGATTGTTTTCTGTTGTAAAGCTAGTAAATGGGTTTAGAAGGACCTCTAATAGTGTTCAAGATTAATAGTTGCTCTCAATACAAAGAGGAAAAGGGTCCATATTCAAAATCCATTCATGTCATCAAGGTACAACATAAATGTACCCTATTAAGGTTCAATTATGTATGTTAAATGAGCTTTAGAGGTACACTACATTCACCATTCCCAGGGGGAAGGAAAAAGTAGTCAAGACAGGGTGTATGTAGTCAGTATACAAAACACAATTACAATGGAATATGATACAATTATGTTCTCTAAGGGTACTTAAGACATACCCTTTAGGACAGCACCCCAGTAAGAGTATAGTACCTTTTTTGAGACTTTGCCACACTAAATTAAAATGGGTGTTGTTGCATTTTTTACGAAGCATAATTCTTGAAAAGCCCACAAATGCAGATCCATGCTTCACTGTACGAGCATCATTCAGCTTCATTAGTTTCCTCTTCTCATGCTAATCAGCCCAGCGGGTGTCTCTCTCGTGTTCCCCTTTCAGCTGGGCCATCAACAAGGGAGGCCAGTCTTTGATGTTTATAGAAAGGCCAGTTCAAAGAGGAACATGCCAACTATCAATGGAAGCACACTAGGACATCACACCACCACTATCATGCAGCAAAACATGATCCAAGTAGATGATTCTGAATCAAAGTGGAACTTCCATTAACCTCTGCCAACACAACTGCTTTTCTCATGTGTCTTTATTTTAGAGCTTTTACTCATGCAGATCCAAACTAAAATGACAACCTAACTTTCAACCAAATAGTTATTAGTGGAGTATTTTATTTAAAATCTTAAACACGTTTTCATTTGAGAATTCATTCATGCGCTTGCATCACATTTGTTTTTGTACCAATACGTTGTCACCACCTATTGACCATCTGCAGTCATTGCATATAGCCTGAATGATAAATGCAATACTAAGCAGGCCCACAGGTTTTTCCCCCCATGTCAAAGGAGGACTTTTAATTTCCATTTTCAGGGATACAGACATAAAAAACCTCTGCAAATGAGGGATTTGCTTGGGAACAAAGAAAGTTCACAACTATTTACAGAAACGGACAAAGTGAGACAGAAACATGTTTACATGGAGTTTGTCCTTTTGTAGGCCACCATACTGTTGACTTTGTGGATAGATGTGGTGAAAGACCGAAGCCGCACCTCCTCCGATTGGTCAATAAGTTGAGGCCCAGATTCCTCCCACTGCTCAGGAACCTCCAGATCCTTGTCTGTGTAGATCAGGAGGTCAAATGCACCTGTGCCAAGTCAAAGGAAGGGGTTGAATTTATTTATATACATATATAAAAAAGGAATAAGGTAATTAAAAATGGAAAGAAAAAAATGCATTTTGCAATTATTTAACAAAACTCAACTAAGATGCAATTCCTCAGGTGAAATATGTAAATGCAAAGTGTTCTCACAGCATTAAATTCAAGCAAAAATTTGTGTCAGTCTCATATCTCTTTGGCGTGTTCCTCCACATACGAGGGCTTTCTTGGTCAATTTATTTACTTATTTATGTATAGAATTTATCCCTTGTTTGTTTATCAAATGCATTTGAATTTTAAATACATAATTTCTCCCAAGATCCAGAGAAAATGAGTGGGATAATTACAGTAAACTCCATTACAATGTTATTTGTCCTAATTTCCACAGTTAACTCCATTACATTGTGATGTGTACCAAATCCGTAGCTGGGCAATCAAAAATGTTAAGCATCCTCAAAAGCCATATTATAAACCAGTGACGCTCAGTCTGGAATCATGAAATATTTGTTTGGGCCTATTTTTATTTATAATTAATTTTTCAAAACATACTTTTAATAACTCCTTTATGACTGCATTAGCAACAAAATCCACCAGAATTTAATTGTGCGACCCTGATGTTCTGTTTAACCACAGAAAGCACCTTGGCATACTGCTAATCACTGTGTTTATCATCAGATCCCTTTTCAAGTAACTTTATTGCAACAATTAAACAACACAATTTTTAGGAACATGGATACTCAATTAGTGATATTACTTTTTTTATAGAATGAAGTGTACTTACATGCTGTTTCCAGTAAAGGCAAGAAGGTAACAGTGGCTGTGATTTGTCTGATAACAGAACGGATTTCTTCCTGGATGGCTTTCATAGACTTTTCCCTGGGAGCACTGCAACATGCATAACAACGTACTTCATATGAACAAATGAACTACGACATTTCATATGCAGATACAGGAATCTAGTTAGAAGGTACAACTAAATAACCTTGCATACTCATTTTCCCACTAGGCATGAACATGAGTACTTGAGTAACCATTCGAGGTACCAGTACTGAAATCACTAATCAGGTATCTTATATTTTATGACTGGAAGACAGAAAAACAGGCTAACAATTCACTGAGACCTGATGGTTTTGCTCGCATTTGCCAGTATGTCATACTTTGTCACTCCAAAACATGCGTGTGTTGCCTAGGACATGAGTGAGAAGGCAGAGGTAGGGTGGTTGGCACAGCTGTATCATTTACTAGGCTAAGTAGCTGATATTAGTTAGGTCCAGAAACAATAGAAATGAATTTCTCTGACAAACTAACAAGCTGGCACATCCTCTGAGGTGAAAACGAGTCCTCATCTGCATCCAGTGTGACACTGGTTAGCTTCGTCAGCTCATTTGAAGAGGCAGGCAACTTTCATTACTCATCCAACAGGAAAGCCTAAAAAAACCCTTTGGGCCTCTTTTTGAATGATAAAACGTAAGTGTATTGCTCTGCCTGCTGCTATATGTTTGTGCAACACCAGTGTGGTCACCCAAAAAAGTAAGCCTACAGCCTAGGGCTGGACGATAAAACGATAACGATAAGTATCGCGATATGGCTTTTCCTCGATAGAGCAATAAGACAGGTTCGATAAATGTTCGATATAATACACCATTCTCACACTTCCACGTTTTAGCGAAAGCCTTGGTGGCATTTTCTACTGCAAGGAAAGCGACACTACTCAGCTGTCGCCAGGAGAGGGCGCACTTCCGAATTTTTTCGACTTGATTAGAGAGGGAGGGGGCCTCGAGTAGGGTCGCCAAATATACTTTAGCAACGGCTGAAACGCGGAGTTATACAGTCCCTGTCTGAGTGGATGTTATCAGCGATCTGTTCTCCTGTGACCGAGTGTGAGTGACGAGGTCAGTGGTGTAACTGTATTGTCCTACGGTGAACTCACCTCTTTCCATGCCTCCTAACAACTTTAGCGGTGTTAAATCACGTCTACAGCGCCGTGTTACAGCGCCAAACCGTCATATTTTAGTATTAGTGCATTCTCGAGCAACGAAAGTTAAAGAAAGAAGTGGGTTCATGTTCGAAAGTAAACTGAGGAAGCTGTGAGGCATTGGAGAGCAGGAGAGCGCTATCTTTCCAGGCTAGCTGTTTTTAGCTGCTGGCTAACTTGAAGCAGCGCTCCGGCAAAACACGGAGAATTGATGATACTGTAAATCAAACAAGACACAAAATCACCGCTTTCAGTTTAAACATACCTAAAAGGAGGACTCAGTTTGACTGGTGTGAGAGATTCACACTGCAGATAATGCTTTTACACAGCGAGCATCAGATACACTGCGGTTCACCCCTTAAACTACTACGATAGCATAGAGAAACCCAGTCGTCGCTAGCTGGTGTCTGAATACTGTGATCTGCTCTGACATGGATGTGGTAGGAGTGACAGCAGTGACCTACCAAACCGAGATGACGTTGTTGAGAAACTAAAGAGTTTAGCACTGTTGTTGGCCACTTGTTTAGCATTTGTAACGGGGTAGCCGAGCGCTCGTCACCAGACAGCTAAAAATAATCTGTTTTCTTTCTTAAATCATGACTATTACAAAAATTGCAGCGGTGCTTTTCAAGCTGATAAAAACAGCTCAGAAACTTTCTCCCACTGTCCCATGACAGATTAGTGAAATGTTCCACTGTTTGCCGAGTGTTTGTCATGATCGGACCGTAAGTGATAATTTAAAACCACAGTTAACCACCCAGGAGCAAAATCAGCCTTCAAACGTGAAAGAAATCATGATTTGACATTTATCGCGATATGTATCGATATCGAATGATATGAGTTTTGTTTATCGTGATAACGTTTTTGGCCATATCGCCCAGCTCTACTACAGCCCTACATCATTTTTGGCCAAACTCTGTTTTTTCCGTTCCTGTGGTTAACCAGATATCCATTCATAAACTCTTACAGTTAATCGAATAGCAAAACAAGTCGGAATGCACATCCCTATTACCCATCTTCCCAGTTAGATCTAACTTCACTCTCCAAGTTATTTTATTAGTTGCTACAAGCTACATACTACTTTCTCTTCAAGTATGAGGATACCTGCTCTCCTTGGCTGTCTTGTCACACTCTATGTCAAACTGCCACCGCTCCAGGACCTCATTTGTCTCAAGGCATGTGATCACCACCACCAGCTTCTGCACTGTGCAATCAAACAGCCACTCTGGGGGAAAATTAGGCAAAAGGTTAGTAACAGCTCAGAAGAAACCAGCCATAGTTTTAACATACAGACTTTTACTTTTACAGAAAACATTTACTTTAAACATTTTGAACAACATATAAAAAAGGCTGGCCTGAACAGCGTTTTACAGGCTTTAAATACTCACCCTTTAAAACAACAAAATTCAAAGTGTCAAATACATGGAACAGATAAGCTTTCATTTTAATGAGTGGGTCAGTCCTTACAGGCTGTGGTAGATGTACATCTTATGTACATCAAAACCCAACCAGGGAAAAAAAAGGCTAATATCTGTTCCTGAAGTGTACATGATGGAGCAGACTTGAAGGCTAGGGTACCTGGATAAGGATCACTCACTGTGCTTAAATATTCAGGATGATGGTATACCAACTTCTTACTTATGCAAATTTTGCAGTGAGCAATTTAAGTGTCTGATAATTTAAGGTGCTTCCATGTGGTATCTCAGGTATCTTTGCTTCAGTGGCCAAGTGGAAAGCGGTAGAGTTTGTTGCACTCTCCGGTAAGGTGACATGGATGCCTGGTAAGAACTTTATATATAGTACTGTGCAAAGGATCCTGAGAAAATTAGATTCAAAAATTTAGTTTTAAAAAGCTGTTTATCTGAGCAATAATATTTGAATAACTATAGATTGTATTAATACAGTAAGTTGAGACTTCACATGACATGAAATTTATTTTAGGCTAAAAAGACTTCCAAAAGACACAAATATCTATGTAATAAACTAATACTAAAGTATTTGACTTATTTAGGGCTGCCCTAATAAAAACATGACCATAAAATAAAATGAATTACTAAAAGACTTAAACCACCACTTTATTATTCTACCTAAGGCCCGAATGATGGAAACCCACAGACTGAGATCTACATAAAAAGGATCTTACATTTCTGACTCCTCTTACTATTATAAATTCGTGTCACATGCCTACCTTTGAGTTGTGTCACAACGTTGGTGAGGTAGTTCTTCAGTTTGGGGTCTGTGGTGAGCTGAAGACTCATATCATACTGAGTGACTCTGGTAAACGTCTCTGCAGGATAAATTCCTCGCTGGTACAAGATACTGTTTATCCCAAATGCTGTAAAATAACAGACAGTCAGGGATGGGCAATATTATCAATATTGTGATAAACTGCTTCATGAAACATTTTTAAGGTATGTTGTATCATACTTCAGCACTGTATGCATCATAAAAAGCCTGTAAATAACTACCAATGTAATACAGTGCTGCATGACTATTTTGCTGGTGCAATCTGTTTCAAATCGCTTACAAACTCGGAAAACAAAATACTGTGGTACAAACACCGATCAGCCATAACGTTAAACTGCCTCCTTATTTCTATACTCATTGTCCTCCGCAGTGACTGACGTGGTGGTGGCATGTTAATGTGTGTTGCACTGGAACGAGTGGATCAGACACAGCAATGCTGCTGGAGTTTTTAAACACTGTGTTCACCCACTGTGCTCTTTGTTAGAAACACCTACCTTGTTGGTCCACCTTGTAGATGTAAAGTCAGAGACAGCAGCTCATTGGTGGTCAAAGGATGCCGTTGGCTGGATATTTTTGGTTGGTGGACTATTCTTAGTCCAGCAACGACACTGAGGTGTTTAAAAAAAGCACTGCTGTGTCTGAACTACAGGTGGACGACAAGACAAAAATACAATATCTTCATAGTTCTACAAATTTTCACAATACGCGCTGTTACAATATTTATTTTTTCAGATATCTGATCAGTGGAAATGGAGTTAAAAGAATCAGTAGTGCTATATTTAACAAATACTATAAAAAACAATGATTTTTGTTCAATGTTTGGTACACTGTATTGCACTAAATCCAGTTAAACAGGACTAACTTTGCTTTTTTTTTAAATAATGAAACACTCAGACCAGTGCAATACACCAACATGCCACCACCACCTCAGTGTCACTGCAGCGCTAAGAATGATTTACCACCCAAATAATATCTGCTCTGTGGTGGTCCAGAGGGGGTCCTGACCACTGAGGGACAGGGTAACAGGGGGCTAACAAAGTATGCAGAGAAACAGATGAACTACAGTCTGTAAAAGTAGAACTACGAAGTGCACCTATATGGTAATTGGAATTGATAAAATAGACAATAACTGCAGAAACAAGAAGGTGGTTTTAATGTTATGGCTGTAGGTGTGTGGTGCATTAATTGTGTGTACCGTGATGTTAGATTTTCTCCACATCGCCCACACATAGGCATTTGAAACAAAACAGTGTGCAACTAGGTTACAGCATGTTATATTTGTTGCCTTTTAGGCAGACAACGTTACTCGAAACACGAAACATGAAGTTGATCGATGTTCTACACGTAAGTTACTGACGATGTGCACGATATGTTCACAAAAGCATGTTTTGGCAATGGAGATAACGTTAGCTTTATTTTATAGCAGGACAGACAATGAATATAAATAACTACCACTAACAGTTCGCTTTCACAATTACAAAGGACACATGTTAAAGCTGCTGTGCACCGATAATGACCAGCTAATCAGACACGTCTGTGTTATGGTGGATGCCAAGCCGTTTCATTAAAGGAGCCATCGCACTAAGCACAGAGAAACTAGCCCATGTTAGCTAGCTAATTTAGCTAGCTAGCTGCTAACGTGGCCACCAGTGGCTCCGTTCGTGCTACTAAACATGCTCTCAGCGGGTTTGAACGTTTTCTTATAACCATAATTTACCAACACGGTTCCCAGGTTTAACTGCTAGTTAAGTAAGGCTAAGCGGTCTGAGTTAACAAGTTATGCGTTAGCGAGGTGGCTAAGTTAGTTAGCTGTAAACAGTCAGAAGAGCTGAAAATCGTTTACAAACCGAAGAGCGCCGCAACGCGTTACCGTCTTTTCTAAAATTAACGGATAAAGTAATGCTTGGACTCACAGAAGAACTCCGCAACCAGCTCAGCGCTGCCCTTCAGCGTAATCCCCTGCAGTGTTTTGGCCATTCTCCTCGTGTCTGTGCTCGGCTGCCCGCTGCTCTCTCTGTTTTACCCGCCGCTCAGTTTGAATTCAGACCGCGTTTGAAGTTCCGCGCATGCGTGCCATCAAAACAACCTACGTAACTGCGTCACTGCGCCCGACGTCGGCGCTGGCTTTTTTTGAAATTTGTCTTTTTTTTTAAATAAAATCATCTATTATTACTTTTACTAATATAGTCCATTCTATATAATTTATTTTTTTACTCAAATGTATTATTTTCTCTCAAAAATAAATGTTTGTAACTAATGATAAGTCTTTTGTTGTTGTGTTTTATTATTGTTTATCAGAGTTTTATTGTTTTCCAACACTACTTCTTAAGCTATTGTTATTATTATGATAATTATTTTCTCAATTCGCCTGTGGTACTCTACTCTGTCCAACATAAGGACTTCCCTCAATGTAATCCGAGTTTAAAGAACATGATGACTTTGCTGCTGAAAGCAATTGTTTTGGTATAACTGGTTGTGTTGTGAATTATCTATTTTCCTCACCTGCTAGCAAACAAAAATATGTCCAAAGACATCACTGGGCTGAGAGAATACAGGGACTGATGGTAGTATTATTGTAGAGGCCACTAAGGTAAAAATTAATCACCATGTCACACTGGGGGCTCCATATATTGTAAAAATTCTGGCCCAGAAAAAAACTTGGCTGCATTCCACTCCACATTCCATTCTGACCCCTGGGGCACCGGGGTCACTACAGGTATAATGGCAAGTTTCAGAGGGGGACTTTTGTACTTTGCCATTTTTTTCTTCCTTTTTTTTTGGTCACTCATGAGAGGGTACATTGGTGGCTTTGTATTTTCAGGTGATTCTGTTGGTGTTTCCACAAATAATTTCAAATTAATCTGTTGTCCTGGAACTTATTGCATTGTTCTACCAGTTTAACATGCTGTTTAGGTTACTTTGTAATGAGAATGATCAAATTGTTGTAATTAATGTGTCATAAACATTATCTATAAGCTTTCTCATTTAATGGACTACACTTGCCTGAAGGTGCTTAGATGTAATTGAATAAGTCACCTCTCTAGGTGTTTTCTACGAAGTGCCAAACAAGTTCATTTACTTTATTTGTCTTACCTGTAAAGCCTCTACCAGATTAACATGTCAGTTGCTTGTCAATGAGCAGCATAAAGAAGGTGGTACATAATACGATTACTTTAATTAGACATGACCGTTAACTTCCGCTGAGGTACCGTTGGTGGTTACACAAAGGAACCACAGTGGTTAGCTGTCCTGACTGTGTGTGGGCGTACACACCTCTCTTTATCTGTCTGTCTCTCTTACTCACTCATTATTTTTCTCTCTCTCTTTCTCACCCACTCTGTGACTGTCTCTTTCTCTCTCTCTCTCTCTCACTCTCTCTCTCTCTCCCTCACACACACATACACACATTTCTTTCTCTTTTTTACTTTTAGCCTCTCTCTGTCTTTCTTCCTCTCCTTCGCTCTGTCAGTCTCTTTCTCTTGCAAGCTCTCTCTCGTTCTCTTCCCCAGTTTCTCTCTCTGTCATTCTCTCTCATTCTCTCAGTGTCTTTCGTAGTCTCCCTTCTCCCTGCTGTGTCTCTCTTTCTCAGTCTTTCAGTTCTGTTTCTCCATATATCTCACTGACTCTCAGTTTCCCTGTCCCTCTCTCTTTCTCTCTTAGTCTCTCTCTCTCTAGGGTGACCATGTTTTGGTTTTCAAAAAGGAAAACACTGGAGACAAGGTATGAAATACATGGGGTCCTGGGGGGTCCAAGATTCCCTAATTAACCTTTTCGACCTCCTGAATTTGTTATGACATTATGTTGTCCTTTAGGGAAAATTGGATGCTCAAATACAAATTCAGGGAAAACTCTTGTTGTTTAGCTGCTTCACCCACAAAACAACAAGCTTCTGTCTTTGATATTCTTAACTAGAGCACTGCTCTGCCTCAGGGTGGCGCCTTAGCAAATTGGTTCACCCAGTTGGTCCCTAATAGCGACTGTACCTATGCCCGGCATATGTCTGAAAAACTGTATAATATTCTGCAGCATATTTGTAAATGTGAAAGCTTGCCCAATTTCCCAAGAGCTTGGTGGAAAGAGTGAACTGTGACTCATTTCTCAAACCGAAGAAAAAGGGGGTGTGTAAGAGTTCAGTGAATGTGTGGAATACAGCATTACCAAACTAGAAAAGAGCATTTTCAGAAGAAGAATTGTTCAACCAAACATTTGCTGCCACTGAAGCTAGAATCAGCACTACTATGGTGAGTGAGTTGCAGCCAGCCAATGCTAGAGTAACCAGCCAACATGGGACCCCCGAATATGCAGGTATTTGACACACTGACTGGAGATCAGGAGAGCAGCATGGAACACACTACAGTAAGCAAATGTTAAACTGAAAGCAAAGCCAAATCCCATACATTTTAGGCAACTTTGAAATCCTAGTCGACAAGTTTTTAGGCCCAAAAAGAGAACATGTCCTGGAAACGGAGGATGAATGGTCACCATATCTCTCCCTCTCTCAGTTTCTCTCTTTAAGTCTTTCTCTCCTACTCACTTTCTCAGTTACTCACTTTGTCTCTCACTCTGATAGGTAAAGAGTAAACCGATAACTGTTGACACTTTACTAATGTCTGTGTCCAAAAGAAAATCTACAAATAGAGGAATTCCACAAAATCCACTAAGTTTGAGGCCTTCCATGCTGTGCTGAATGTATACTCAGTCAGTTTGGCTCTTTGCCTGTTGCTGAGAGCAGCCGGAGTTTACCACTCAGTAGTCATTGCATCACACTTACAGCAGAATGTTTACCCGCGCTCCTGTATATGCTTCCCCCTGAAACACAACCCCGTTCATCTACAGCCCAAAGTGTTACACGTCACCGGCCTGCTCTTTGGCTCGACCTTCTTCTTGCCCGTCACAGCTGGACAGCTGGATTTTCGTAAAAGGCGAGCCACCCAGCATCTGGCTGCAGCCTCTGTAACTCACACATACTCATTTTATAGTTTGTGTAGCACTTCCCTGCAGCCTATACGTCCTCCAACTAGCCATAATGGAGCCACTATAAAAGTTCTAGAAATGACACCTTTTACGGTTGGCTTCTATAAATGAAAATCTGCAGGACTTCAGTTTTGTTCTTTAAAGTGGTGCTTGTAAGTATGACATCTTTACCCCTTTTGAACTACACGCAAAGATGTTAAATCAGCAAAAGAGATTTTTAAAATAAAATACAGTTCTAAGTATGAATTTTATGCTGGGGTGGTATATCACAATACTACATTTTCACAATATATAATACATTTCAAGATATTACTTTTCTATTTCTTTTTAAGGTTTGATAAGTTGGGACAGACACAATGCACCAGTAGTGCTAAACCAAAATCTATTAGTACATTAACTGTTTAACGTTTTACTGCCCAACATTACATCCAATCAAACAGGACCTGTTCAGTTCTCATGGACTGGCGGAAACAATGGGCTAAAATCTTAGACAGCGACGCCACCTTGAAGCCCTTGTTAAGTGTCTTTTTGATGCAGTGTAACATTAATCAATGTTGTTAAAGTGCTGACGATACTTCTGATTTAAGCACACAGAAACTGTGATGTAATTTATCATGATCATAATATCTTATCCTCATATTGCCCACCCCTATTCTGTGTGTACCAATTTTGGACCCTATCGGACCAAAGCTGGCACACGGCCCAGTCTGCTCTTTTACGCATTTCCATTCTGAAAGGTTTTATATTATTCCTGGGAGGAATCGAGTGACGATGCCATAAAGTGCTAATGGTTTTTACAAACACATCTGTTGTGTTCTGGGGGTACAGAGCGAGGGGTGTTAAGGGGATTTTTCCTCCTCTTTCCAACATCTGTGCATTTCCATCTCTTTATTAGGAAGCTGAAATAATATTTCTCAGCTGGTTCCTTTTAGCTCTACAGCAGGGCCACTTTATCAGGATGCAAAAAAAAGCCAAAGCTTAAAAGATTAGATTTTTGAAGGACACCTATAGAAACGTTTAGGTCTTGAACTGAGAGCTTTTATTAATTTTGAAAGATTGAATAGACTCTAGTAACAGTTCTGGCTCAGCAAAAAGTTTGCCCCAAATAAAATTTTATGATTTTCAGTTTCCATACTTCCGTACCAAAATGCTTGGGGTGAGAAACTTATCAGGGCTATAATCTAAAAAAACACATCTCTCTCCAAATATAATAATCTCCATAATATATTCTGAAATCATATGTCATATATTCGTGCATGAGTGTAGTCTTCATATTTAAACCAAGTGTTTTCAAACCAAGTCACAACATTTATAATCCAGCGTCCACTGAGAGCTGAGGGAGAAGTAAAGGGTCTTTTAAACAACGTTATGTATGGTGAAAGAGAGGTAGTGTGTAGCTATAGTGGTATTCATTCATCTGATGTAAGAGGTGTATGGCTAAGGCCCAGTGATTGCTGAGCTTACATAGTGCGCTCTGACTAGCCGTGGTCCAGAAAGCGCAATGCAGTGCTATATATGGCATGTCTAATGCTAACAGTGGGCTTTTTCTGTTCAGGCTTAGTCGGCAAAACCAATGGGGAGTTAATTGGAGAAAGTGGGCCGTCTTTGACGTGCGCCACGTGCCAAGACAGGGTGACATTTAATATAGCAGAGCCAGAGTGCTTAAAGCTTAAATACACAGCCCTCAGCATCATTAAAACCTGTCAGTCATGCATAAACTATTTATGACTGATGAGTTACAGGAAGCAAGATATTCAGCAAATGCTGCACACTCACATATAACTGCAGAGCTACTAGGTCTACCTCCTCTTCTGGGCATGTGTACTTACAATTACATTGATTGGCCCACCAGCTCCAAGTGTTTTTTTTTCTTTTGGTGGAACACAACAGGCTTTCTGTTTAGCTGGAAGGGGAGAAAAAAAGAAGGCAAGGGAGGGGGGAGAAAATCGATTCCTCCCTGAGGAGTTTACTGGGTCTCAAAGCACCGCTGGTCACTGGAGCTTACCGAAGCCCACCAAAGCCTTAAATCCCAAATGGACGACTAGTAGAATTACTCCATAT